CCGACAGCTCTCAGAGCAGATCCTGCGCATCATTCTGCCCAAGCCCTCCCGGAGTTGGCGTCGTGCAATTTGTTCTGAAACTTCAGCCTCCACCTTGGTGGTGGCTTTTCTTCTCCTAGAAGCCAACAGTAAGAGAAATGTGCATGGTGTCTTTTGTTAAAGTCACACAGCTGTACTGGTTCTCTTTTGGATACAGGAAATATGGCTACTTATTTGTTACAACATTTTCTTTCACTAGGTTTTTTCCCGCTTTTCAGTCACCTGGCTGTGATGGTCAGCTTGCTGTGCAGATGTTCTGCCACGGCATGCTTGGTGCATTTCTTGCTAGTTGCTGAGACAAAGGCAACATTTATTTATTCAATTTTTATTAATTTGTTCGAGACCAGCCTGGTCTACAAGAGCTAGTTCCAGGACAACCTTCAAAGCCACAGAGAAACCCTGTCTCCAAAACACCAAAAAAATAAATTATTATTATCAAGCACCCCTCCCTCCTCTCCTCCCACTCCCTCCCCATCCCGTCTGCTCCTCGGAAAGGGTAGGGCCTCCCCTAGGAAGTCTACTAAGTCTGTCCCATCATCTAGTTGAGTCAGGACCAAAGCACCTCTTCAACCCCACCCCGTTTCTACGCTGGGCAAGGTGGCTCTCCATATAGAATGGGCTCCACTAAGTCAGTCTGTTTATGCATTAGTGTTAGGTCTTGGACCCATTGCCAGTGGCCTCATATATTGTCCCAGTCACACCATTGTCAACTATATTAAGGGAGTCTAGTTCAGTCTTACGTAGATACCCCATTTGTCAGACCTGAATAAGTGATCTCTCACTGGCTCGGGTCACCTGGTTTCCCCATCATGGTCTTGACTCCTTTGTTCATATTATCACTCCTCTCTCACTTTGATTGTACTCCAGGAGCTTGGCCCATTGGTTAGTTGTGGATTTCTGCATCTGCTTCCATCTGTTTCTGGAAGAGGATGCAAGCTCCTCTGGGGTTGTGGATTATAGGCTGGGTATCTTTTGCTTTATGTCTGGTATATTTGTCTTTCTGGTTTTGGGTTACCTCACTCAGGATGGTTTTTAGGATGCCATTGTTTCTTAACACTGAATAGTACTCCATTGTGTAAATGTACCACATTTTCTTTATCCATTCTTCAGTTGAGGGGCATGTAGGTTGTTTCCAGGTTTTGGCTATTACCAATAATGTTGCTATGAACATAGTTGAGCAATGTCCTTGTTTGGTGAGTGTGCATCCTTTGGGTATATGCCCAAGAGTGGTATTGCTGGGTCTTGAGGTAGGTTGAACCCTAATATTCTGAGAAATTGATATACTGATTTCTACAGTGGCTGTATAAGTTTGTACTCCCACCAGCAAAGGAGGAATGTTCCCCTTTATTCCACATCCTCTCAAGCATAAGCTGTCATTGTTGTTTTTGATGTTAGCAATTCTGATCAGTGTAAGATGGGATATCAGAGTGGTTTTGATTGGCATTTCCCTGATGACTAAGGATATTGAGCATTTCCTTAAGAGTCTTTCTGCCATTTGAGATTGTTCTGTTGAGAATTCTCTGTTTAGATCTATACCCCATTTTTAAATTGGATTATTTGGTAATTTGATGTCTAGTTTTTTCAACTCTTTCTATATGTTGGAGATCAGCCCTCCATCAGATATAAGGTTGGTAAAGAATTGTTCCCATTCTGTGGGGAGCCGTTTTGTCTTGTTGACTGTGTCCTTTGCTTTACAGAAGCTTCTCAGTTTCTGGAGGTCCCATTTATTAATTGTCAATCTGAGTGTCTGTGTTACTGGTGTTAAATTCAGGAATTGATCTCCGATGTTCAAATGTATTTCCCACTTTCTCTTCTATGAGGTTCAATGTGGATGGATTTATATTGAGGTCCTTGAACCATTTGGGCTTAAGTTTTGTGCATGGCGATATATATGCATCTATTTGCTTCTTCTACATGTTGACAGCCAGTTATACCAGCACCATTTCTTGAATATGTTTTTTTTCTGTTTTATATTTTAGCTTCTTTGTCAAGATTAGGTGTTCATAGGTGTGTGGGTTGATATCGGGTCTCTGATTTGATTCTATTGGTCTACCTGTCTGTTTTTATGCCAATACCAAACTGTTTTCATTACTCTATAGTAGAGCTTGATGTCTGGGATGGTGATGCTCCCAGATTGTACAGGATAGTTTTGGCTATTCTGTTTTTTTTTTTTTCCATATGAAGTTGAGTATTGTTCTTTAAAGGTCTGTGAAGAATTGTATTGGGATTTTGATAGGGATTGCATTGAATCTGTAGATTACTTTTGGTAAGATTGCCATTTTTACTATGTTGATCCTACCTATCCAAGAGCATGGGAGATCTCCCCATTTTCTGATATCTTCTTTAATTTCTTTCTTTAAAGACTTGAAGTTCTTATCATACATGTCTTTCACTTGTTTGGTTTGATAATTTGTTATTTGTGGCTATTGTAAAGGGTGATGTTTTTCTGATTTCTTTCTTAGCCTCTTTGTCATCTGTATATAGGAGGGCTATTGATTTTTTTTAGTTAATCTTGCACCCTGCCACATTACTGAAGGTGATTTCTTGTAGAATTTTTGGCACCACTTATGTGCACTATCATATCATCAGCAAATAGTGAGAGTTTGACTTCTTTTCCAATTTGTATCCCTTTGATCTCTGTTGTTTTAATGCTATAGCTAGAACTTCAAGAACTATGTTGAGTATATATGGAGAGAGTGGACAGCCTTGTCCAAAGGCAGCATTTATTGTGAAACACTTAATCAAAGTTAATTGATATCCTTCAGACAGGCTACAGGGTCGTTAGGACAGGTGGTCAGACAGCAAAGGATGTGCTGCACTGTCAGCCTCCTTACTTATTTTTAAAACATTTCCTGATACTTGGAGCCATTTCAATTTGAATATAGCAATATAAGGAAATTGAACTACACATTTGTGCTTTTTAAAGTAAGCCCTTGTCTTTAAATCAAGCCTATTCTAAGAATTTTGAGGCAGAAAAAAATTATCTTTTGCCAAATTAAATGCCGTTTCAATACACATATTTCATTTTCCATAATGCTCATTTCATTTTACAGCACTCCAAGCACAAGCCTGCTTAGCTGTTCTTCCTTTAGCTTTATTTTATTCACTTAGTTATTCTCATTTACCTTTCTGCCCACACAGAGGACAGATTACAGGACTCAGGAAACCCAAAAACTAGAAATCAGAACTACCAGTTTGTTTTTTATCCTAAATACATCTTATTCATTTGTTTACAAGGCATCTTGTATTTTTTTTCCATAAGGGAATGCATTTCTCAAGTTAAGTTTCTTAACCTCATAAAAATAATACTGGTGTTTTGTTTTGTTTTGTTTTTAAAATGCTTATAAATTGCATTTGGGGAGTGTGTAAGAAATAAATTCTTAGAAAATGTGGTGGCCTTCACATGTGACCATTCAGAACACAATATTAGTCAAGTTCTCTACCATAGAAGCATAATTAAGTTTTATAGATCAATAATCTAAGGTGCATGTCTATCATCCTTCAGTTATGATATTTGCATTAGTTATGAATACCATTGCTCATATGCAGCAGAAAATGCAAGCTATACAAGTTAAAACAAGATGGGATTTTATTTCTCTCTCTTTTTTTTGCAGATTTTTAAAATTTGAATTAGAAACAAGTTTGTTTTACATGACAATCCCAGTTCCCTTCTCCCTCCCATCCTCCCCTACCACCAGCCCCCAACTAAAACCCTACCTATCACATATCCTTTCTGCTCCCCCTGGATGGTGAGGCCTTCCATAGGGGGTCATAAGAGCCTATGTGTGTCTTGGCTCAGGGAGTTGGGCTCCCAAAGTCCACACCTATGCTAGGGATAAGTACTGAACTACTACAGGAGGTCCTGTAGATTTCCGAGGTTTCCTCAATGAGATCCATGTTTCTGGGGTCTGGATCAGTCCCATGCTGGTATCCCAGCTATCAGCCTGGGGAGCAAGACTTCCCCGATGTTTAGGTCAGTTATTTCTGTGGGTTTCACCAGCCTGGTCTGGATCCCTTTGCTCTTCACTCCTCCTTCTCTGCATCTGGATTCCAGTTCAGTTCAGTGATAAGTTGTGGGTGTCGGCTTCTACTGCCACCAGCTGCTGGATGAGGGTTATTGGGTGGCATATAAGTCAGTCATCAATCTCATTATCAGGGCAGGGCATTTAAGGTAGCCTCTCCTCTGTTGCTTAGATTGTTAGCTGGTGTCATCTTTGTAGATCTCCAGACATTTCCCTAGTGCCTGATTTCTCTGTAAACCTAAAATGTCTCCCTCTATTATGGTATCTCCATTTTTATATTCTATTCTTCCCCTGAATCAACCTTCCTGCTCCCTCATGTCCTCTGCATCCCTCCTCTTCTCCCCTTCTCATTCTTGTAGCTCCCTCCCCCCTCTTTCTATGCTCTCAATTTGATCAGGAGATCTTGACCCTTTCCCCTTCTCCAGGAGACCAGGTATGTCTCTCTTAGGGTCCTCCTTATTTCTCTATCTTGTAGAGTAGGCTATTGAAGGCCTTTGTGGTACTCAGTGGTGATTGGTAATCCACACTCCTTCAAGCTCAGTGCTCTGTAATTCTGGGTTTATGGCTGCTCCACCTCCAGTCATTTAGTTCAATTCAGCTAAGAGGAAAGTGGGAAAGAGACAGGAACCTCCCCTCCCCATGGCAAACACACCTCCTCTTTTCTTTTGGCTTGGACTTATATTGGCCATACAAATTGGATTTCCTGAAAGTGAAAGTTACGGTACCTACAAGCCCACATGCTCTTCTGCAGTGTAAACTTTGCCATTCCTAAACCAGCTGAAGGTGAATGGGATTGTGGCTGCTTTGGTCAGTATTTATAAGTTACTCTAGCCCTATAAAAAACACCTGGCCAAAGTTCTGATCCACGGAGTTAGTGAACATAAAAAAAAAGAAGGTCGTTTATCTTCTAAATTTTGGGGTAGTTTGTTGCACAACAATAACAATTAAGTGCTACAATGGGAAAATTTAGGGCATGCAAATACTTAGAGATGAAGGAAAACCAAGTCTGGGAACAACTATTAGTCTCCTCCATGATACCTTTTAATACCTTTCCCCAAGGACAGAAGAAAGAAGGCATTCTTCTTGCAAACATGAACAAGAGCTCTATTTTAAAGTATCATCCTCCAACATGTGCTCCCAACTTCATAGATTTGTTCTATGAGTCATAGGTGATGGTTCTCTCATCAGCCACAATACCAGGAGCTCTCATTCCTTAGGGCTGTACAAGTAACTTGGGCATGAAATTAGTAATTGGTTTAGATGGCCTATTGGTCTCTCATCCTGGGAGGTTTCCAAGAGTATAATATTAAGAACAGATATGTTTAAACTACCTTTGGGTTTAAATCAGCTTTGCAATCATTGCTTTGTTAATTTTTGTTTGCATCAATTGTTAAGTCAATAACCTTGACCAGAAAAAAAAGGCTTCATCCCCATGTTTCTGTTATATTATGCTAGAACTGTTCTCAGAATAAATTTTCACTTCTCAAATTATGTTCTGGCTTTTAATCACCACCACATAACCTTTGAGACAATATTTTATGGATTCCTTTGCTTTCATTTTCAAGATACTTTCTTTTGAGCCGTTGAGTGCAATGACAGTGTCTTATAGGGACTATTCATCTTGAATTCAGTGCTATTGATTCTTTGGTTGTTCATTTCTCAGAATTAGACTACAAGCAAAAGAACCTTAAGTGCTCAGCATTGAAACACAAGAAGAACGCTACCAAATTTATTTCCACATGCAAAAACTGGACAGAGATATCAAATTGTTTTAATACAACTGCTAAAACAAAACAGAATCAAGAACAAACCAATAGTCTGGATGAGTTTTAGAATGTAGAATGAAAACTATGGTCATTCAATCACTTAGCATTTCCTATCAATAATTAGGGTGTATCTTGGTCAAATCATTCTTGTACAAGAAACAAATATGCACTCTTTGAAAAAGGAAAATAGAAAGAATTGAAAGATAAGCAGTTGGAAGCTATAGGAATCATGCTTGCCTCAGGCCTTGGTTTTATATACCTTCAGAATTTCATCAATGACTATGGTTCATTTTATCTATTAAGGTTCTCAAGAAATCACTTCTAACTAGATGGTCTTGTAGATTACCTGACCTTGACTGAGATGGTCTAGTAAGAGCAGCCACTAGCATGTAGGACAAGGATGTGACAGTATACATACTTGACAAGGCCTGGCTCATCTACAAAGTCTTAAGTGTTTGGATTAAAAGTGGTATAGACAACTCCCAACATGTCTGCCAAAGATACTAACCTTGTAGCCTGTAAATCTCAGAGTCTGGACTAACCTAAGTAAGATGTTGAATCTCTAGATGCAGTTGTGCAGGGTGATGTCTAGAAAACTAGAAGTTTTCAAATCTTAGAAAAGCCTGATTGCCTTTTAGACTTCTGCTAAAATCCTGGTGTTGCCACCCATTCCCAGACTTTCAGATTCAAGAATTTAAGCATGGCTCACATTCCTAGATGTTTCATATGTTGGGGTCTGAGAACCCCAATTTGTGAACTACTACACTAGATTCCCTGCACAAGTGCTTATACTCATGTTGAAAGATATCTCCCAGGAGTGAATTTTTTGCTGAACATAAAAGCATAAGATGTTCTTAGATTCAAGGCAGACTAGATGCAAACATTCTGTAATTCTATCCTTCAATGGGTCCTGCAAAGGTAAGGTGATTTTTAAAAGCATCAAGAGTATGTTCTTAAATGGCACATTTCACAAACAGAATATGATTTTCCCTTTTGAAAAACAGATTGGGCACACATTTATCTCTGCTTTTTAAAAAATCCCACTAAAATAATAAATAATTAAAGAGATTGGGGGAGTTTCATAAGCAGAAAAATAAGAGAACCCCAATAAAATTAAAATAATTACTTTTAGTTTACTCAGTTTTTTTGTTGTTTTTTGAGATGGGGCTTCTATGTATTGCTTTGGAGCCTGTCCTGGAACTACCTCTTGTAGACCAGGCTGGCGTTGAACTCATATAGATTCGCCTGCCTCTGCCTCCTGAGTGCTGTGATTAAAGTCGTGTACCACTACCGCCTGGCCAATTTACTCAGTCTTAAAAGAAAAAAATTCTGGCACATGCTTGAAGATATTATACTAAGTTGAATAAGTGAAATCCTACAAAAAATAATACAGTTTGAGTCTACAAATATGAGGTAAGTAAAATCATCAAAATTCATAAATACTGAAAGAAGAATAGCAGGCTGGAGAGATGGCTCAGCCATTAAAGGCTAGGCTCACAACCAAAAATATAAGAAAGAAGAATAGCAGTTTCCAGGGGTTGGGGATAGCCGGAGGCAGACTTCTTGTTTTAGTGGCTAAAGAACTTTGGTTTTCTAAGAAGAAAAGTTTTTGAATTGGTTGTATAACACTGTGAATATATTTAACATGGCTGGATTGTAATCTTAAAATGGATGAAGTGGCAATTTTGTACTATGTTCATTTTGTGTCACAGTTAATTTTTTAAGATTTATTCCCTTATTATGTATACAGTGTTCTGTCCACATGTTTACCTGCAGGCCAGAAAAGAGCATCAGATTCCACTCTAGATGGTTGTGAGCTCCATGTGCTTCCTGGGACTTGAACTCAGGACCTCGGGAAGAGCAGTCAATGCTCTTAGCCTCTGAGACATTTCTGCAGCCCCTCTCAGAGTTAATTTTAAAATCAATTTTTATTAATTTTTAAAGAATGTCATACAATGTATTCTTATCCTATTTACTCTCAATTCCTCCCTTTAACTCCCCTCAGCTCTACACTGACCTGGTTACAGTTACCATTTTCCCCATGTTTAATTTTTAACAGAAAATTCAGTAAGAAAAGAAACAGGAAAAGAGATGAGAACAAATGAATTGTGTGAATTTTGAGCAAACACAACCAAACTTAACCAGAAAGCCGAGCCTGGGTGGGGGTCAGCAAAAAGAAGCAGAAGATCATACCTGTCTCATGGAGCACAGAAGGGCTAGGTGCCTCTGAAGGGGACAAGGGTGACAGGATGGGCTAAATGGGCAAGGTGCTCATACCACTGATCCCCTCTAGCTAGCCTGTGTGTGTGTGTGTGTGTGTGTGTGTGTGTGTGTGTGTGTGTGTGTGTCCCCTAGGTCATTGACTGCTCTCAGTTCCTCTGACCTGCTAGGGGACATTGCTCCTGCAATTGTTACCTCTCCTGTGGTATCACAGTTTCCTCTCCAAATGAACCTCTCTGAGGCAAGCTGACTGAGATGTCCTCCTGCTAGTCAAGCCCTCAGTAGTCTCCTCTCCTGCATGGGAGTGCTAACTACAACTTGCTTTATGACACAAGGGAAAGGCTTTTGCCAATGACTTAAAATCTCAAATCAGCTGGTTTTCAATTAATCAAAAGGAGATTATCTTGGGCTTGACTTAATCAGAGGAAATCAATTAAGAAGGAAAAGGATCTGTCTGTTAGCTTGATGGATGAGGCTGCCTTGTGAGGAGCCCAGGGAAATACTTTTTCTCCTTAACTCCCAGGGCATCACTTTTTCCTCTGTTCTTTTCCTGTCTCCAGTCTCCTTTAGTGAACATGCCTTACCCTCTTGCCCTCTGATGTCAAAGCCCCCTGATGCCTTTCTCTACACTAGGGGTGACCTCATAAAGCCCAGCAGCTTTAACCATTTCTATACAGGTGATTCTTGGAGTGGTAGTGAGAGGGACCACCGTATCTGCCACTTGACAGATCTATATATCATCTGGGTCCAATGGAGAAGAAAATAGAAGACATATCCATGGAAGTCCTCAAGGAAAAAGAAAAGAAGCAGTAAGTGATCTAATATGTTTGGTCCATCTCTGAAAAATAGTCTGGGAAGCAAATAAACAATGGATTCAGAGGAAACTAGACAGTTGAAAACCCTGCAGTCCACTCTGAAGAAATCCAAGTTGTCATAGAATACTGCAATCATAATGTAAAATACGTGTGTGGAAACCAGTGTGTGTGTGTGTGTGTGTGTGTGTGTGTGTGTGTGTGTGATACTGAGGGATTTTGAACTACAAACTGCAAATCCTGATAGTCTGTAATATAAATTCAATGAGAATTCTAAATTAGAGAATCAAGAAACAACAATATACAGTCTGCAAAAACATGTCACCTATAGAAGGAGCTTGTAAGGCCCCCCAAGAAGTGGGGATGGCATGCTGTGTGACTGGATCAGTTTCTACAGAAGGATTAGGTCACAGGGACCAAATGTCCAGGTTACAGAGCCAGGAGACAGACACACTGCAGTTCCTAGACTGAGGAGGCTGAACTGTTTGTTGAGCGGGAAATCCCCAATGGCTTCTTCAGTTTAAGGCATCAGAGACTGGTGTCTCACACAGGCCAGGGCCCTTAAGGCATTCTCTAAATATCCTACACTTTTCTCACTTAGTTGAACAGTAACAAAGCACTCCTTTGTTTCATAATATCATGTTCTATTTCAGTAGTTTCCTCTTTTGCTCAACTTCTCTAACAGAGGTACTTCCATTGCACTAGTGAAATTCAAGATTCCCAGGTGTAGAATTCTCTTGCTAATCTGTATTCCTGTGGGGTAGAATGTGCCTTTTTTGTGTGTGTTCTTGGCCCTCTTAGAGTAAATGTGCACTTTGGAGAACAGTTTGCCTACTTCAAGGTCGTAGTATCTTTTGTTTGTTGAATGGTGTGGTCCACTAAACTCTGTTTAGTCTTTCTTGTGATTCACAGAAACAAATTAAACATGTATCAAAACACAAGGCAGTCCTTGGGGGTGTCTAAATCATGTCCTATTTGAAGATAGACTTACCTTTTCTAGTTCTTCATCAAAAAAGTTCTAGAGTCATTAAAAATGCATGTAAGTCAGAGCTATCTAGCACACAGAAATAGTTACTGTTCTCTTACTGGACATGAAACTGCTTCTGTCTGTGGTACATTGTACGCTAATGATTTTGTCCATCCATGATAAGCCTGTGGTGGCATACCTGGACAGATGATTGCAGAGTAAGATTTGTGTTCAGCCTTTCAACCATTAAACCCTCAACTCTGTTGAAGGACCTACACCTCAAATTCAACAAACCATTTGTTTGAAATAAAAATTAAGCTTTGTTCCTCAGAAGAATCCTTTCCCTCTTTTATTCTCTGGCTCTGTAAATGGTCTCATGACATCATGACACTTGCCTAGACTCTCAAAGTCACTGTCAACTGTTAGGGCCCACATTCCTGAGTATTAACTGTCAAGTTCTGCTGAGTCTACTCCCTGTGCCCCTAACATCATTAATTTTTTTAATCTTTTTTATTTAAATTCTTTGATTACTACTCATATTTACATATCCATCCCCCCATTCCCTCGCCCTCCCATCCTCCTATGTTTTCCCCCAGCCCCCCCAACCCACCCCCCAACTCCTCTCCAGGGATAGTAAGGCCCTCCACGGGGGACCTTCAAAGTCTGTCATATCATTTGGGGGAGGGCCTAGGCCCTCCTTGCTGTATCTGGGCTGCAATAGTATCCCTGCATAGGGAATGGGCTCCCAAAGTCCATTTGTGATCTAGGGATAAAGACTGGCTCCACTGTTAGAGGTTCCATAGACTGTCTTGGCCTCCTAGCTGTCACCCACATTCAGAGGGCTTGGTTTGGTCCAATACTGTTTCCCCAACTTTATGACTAGGGTCTCCATGCTATCATTCATTGTCCATCTTAATGAGTTCAGACCAATAAAACAAACATTTGGGAGGATGGGGCCTGTTAAGTTAAGCAGTAGGGGGCCTGTTTGCCAGGCTCTGGCAGATTCTCCTCTGCCTTGTGGGTGACTCTACAATGTGCTCATCTGACTATTTCATGCTGTGTGCACATGGAAGGAGAGTGCTCCGGTGTCTCCCTTCTTCTCAGGCTCCCACTGCTATCGACTGGGCTGTCCTTACAGCCTTGTTTAACCCACCCCATTTCCAAATATGACCACACTGAAGGATAAGATTTCAGTGGGTGAATTTGGGGAGTGTGGGAATTGACATGATTTGATCCAACACATGTCCTTGAATGAGTCTTTGTCACTTCTCTCCAAGACTGTGATCTTCTAATTAGCCCTCTGTCTGTAATCTCTCCTATTATTAGTTATACATTACTTGAGAATTCTTTTCTAAGTTAGTTACTTTGGCTTTTATCATTTTCTGCTTAAATAAAAGCAACCACAAAAAAAAAAAACAAGTAAACTAAAAGGAGGAGGAGGAGAAGAACTAGAAGGAGAGGAAGAAGAAAGAGAGAAAGAAAGAAAAAAGACAATAGCAATAAAACTTTCAGTGGCCAACTGGGGCTACACAGAGAAACCTTGTTTTAGGGGGGGAAAGCAATTAAAATTTAATGCAGTGACGGTGCACTCCTTTAATCCCTGCTCTTGGGAGGATAAGGCAGGCAGCTCTCTGTGAGTTTGAGGCCAGCCTAGTCTACAGATTAAGTTCCAGGACAACCAGATTTATAAATGGACAAGGTAGGTGAAGATTTCCAAGTGGATAGACATGGCAAGTGGCAACTTGGAGATAGGAAATTGAAAAGGGTTGCTCAGAGAAATGTGTTTCTGTGTGTTAGTGGTATAAATGAAGTATGGAGAATTGGAGCTGAAGCTGAGAAATGCAACATAATTAGTTGGTAGTTCATAATTATGACATTGCTTTTATTTCCCAGGTAACAAGAAAGCCCCTGAAGGTTTTTTGTTGATTTTTTTTCAAGACAGGGTTTCTCTGTGTAGCCCTGGTTGTCCATTCATAAATCTGACCTTCGGACAAGTGCCATATCATAGACATCTTCATGATTACTCCCGATGCTCTGACCAGAAGTAATCAGTTTCTATTTTGAGCGTGTGTGTGTGTGTGTGTGTGTGTGTGTGTGTGTGTGTGTTTACATCTGGGATTATTTAGTCTGTCTGGGGAAACTAATCTGGGAGAAATAACTGGCTTGCTCGGGGTGGCAGGAGGGTTCCCACAGGTACAGACATCCAGGGAACTGTAACTTACAAATGAGAATTAGTATATTTAATACTCAAATAGACACAAAATAATTTTTAAATTTTCAATATAAGTTAATTGAAATTGTATTCTATTTCAAGATTTTGGTCATATTATATTTCTCAGGCTTTGATAAAACATCTTATTGAAGTAGAGATTTTGTTGCTAAGCATTTTAAATCATTGGTTTTATTCAATGTCTTCATTTTGTACATGAGAACAGACAGAAACTTAAAATGGCCTCCCTAAGTTTTCCCAACTACTAAGTGGTATAAACAAGATCAGTAGAAATTCAATCAACTAGAAATCTACTTAGTCATCACATCCTTTTCAAAGATGCTGCCCCACTACACAGAAAATGAAGAGAACCACTTCAAGGAATCCTAATAACTCATGAGGGACACCAAGGGGTGCATCTCGATGAACATTTCCTGCTGGTACAAAGTCACCGCTGTTGGGAAGATTTTATTTTCTCCCACAGATTCTAACAGAAAGAGGTTATCTTAGAAAGACAGATGCTTTAAGAAAACTACGTGAAGTCTATAAAATATAAACAAGTACCCAGAGATTATTTGAACAAGTTTGGGATTTCTCGGTGACTATATAAAAGTAAGATTATCAATCCAATAGCTATATCTTCTGCTTGCATGCATTTGTATGTATGATAGAGTATAAAAGTTTTGAGGTGTCAGAAACTGAATCTAGAGCTTCACACATACAAGTCAGGCATGCCTTCACTGGGCACTGTCCTACCTCCACCCTACCCCCTTTTTACTTTTTATTTGAATTGCCTAGAATGGCCTTGAACTCACTCAGTAGCCCAGACAGGGCTTGAACTTGAGATTCTCATACTTTGACTCAGAGTAGCTAGAATTACAGGTCTTGCCACCAGGCCTGGCTGTAAAGAAATGTTAGCATTTCTAACTGTTGCTACTCCTTGGTTTATTTTTCTTGGAAATTTCTCTTGAGCCATGCCTTATATTCACAAGGTCTCCAAAAAAAATGAAGGTTTGAAGAAGTGTATACTGAGGGCAAAAGTATTGTTTGTTCTTCTTTGTTACTCAACAGCAGCAATTCAGATGGTGGTGCAGCCTGACCTGGCTTCTCACTGTGTTTAAATAGAACCCGCCACTTTAAATCATTCCATGAAACATTCCTTTGGGGGCATACAACAATCCAGAGAGGATGGAAAGCTTTTAGGTAGGTAGTCAAGGCCTGAGTTTGTCATCAATGAGATAACAATATGTCCAGGATACTACCTCATGGACCAAGTTATGAATTTAGATTACATTTCCCATTTTTGTTGCACATTCCAATGAGTCAGAAATATTAATGCTGAGAGTTGCACCAAGAAAATGAATAAAAATAACCTTGGAAGATATTTGAAATGCAACCATTTCCCAGGATTAAAAAGTGTGGGTACTCCCGTGTTTGGCATAGATTAAGGAGTGTCTCTTGTAATAGATTCAGTAGCTCTCAAGAAGAGAGTGTCCATGAGCTCAACATTATTTACAGTACTTACTCTGCTCTAGGACCACATTAGGAACTGTCATTACACAGAAAGACCATTGGGATAAAGCAAAATTGCTCCTGTCTTTATAGTCAGACAAATAAATAGAAAACAAATTACAAAATTATGTGGAAAATGGGATGATATAAAAGAATACACTGGAAGACTTCATTGGGCAAGGTGATGGGAAATGTTTCTTCTGCTGTTTGTTGGGGTGAGGCTTGGGCTCTATTATTCCCCATTAGATAGAACAGGAGGAACTTCGCAGCAAGCAGCCCTAGTGACAGCAGCTGAGACCATTATGCAGGGCTGGCCCAGATCCACCATCCCCACCCACCCAGAGCTGCTAGCAAAACAGCCATTTTCCATAGGGCTGCCTCTTCCAAAGCACCTCCATCTCCCCACAGCTTGCAGGGTTGGTCAGTCATCCCAAATGGCTTAATTGCACAATTGCAAGAGCCTCTAATGCTTACAGGAAATGGGGCACAGGTCAACATTACTCATGAAAAAAATATAGTTGACAATAAGTTTTTACTCTTTTTTGTTGTTGTTGTTTGTTTGTTTTTCGAGACAGGGTTTCTCTGTGTAGCTTTGGAGCCTATCCTGGCACTCGCTCTGGAGACCAGGCTGGCCTCGAACTCACAGAGATCTGCCTGCCTCTGCCTCCCGAGTGCTGGGCTTAAAGGCGTGCGCCACCAACGCCTGGCTAAGTTTTTACTCTTAAGTTAACAATGCTTCACTCATAACACTTACATTTCCTGTTAAAACATTCAGGAGTTTGATATAAAAGAGAGGATGTGAAACAATCACAATTGTATTTATCAAATGTCAATCTTTTCATTATTGACATATTAATATGTATCTTCAGTGAGATTCTCCTGGTGTTTATAGTCCACACTTGTCAACATAACAATCTAAACATTGATATTCTCACTTACTCATTTTATAGATATTTTGTTATGAACTTTTATTTTTACTCATTAGAGAAAGGTTTTCTTCCCAAAGCTGGATGCAGTATTATTTTGGGTCAAACAATTCCTTAACATTCTCAATGATTTCTGTGTCCTTGTATGAGATTTGCTATTGCATCTGCAACCTGTTTGCATTAATCCATTCTCCATTTCCTACTTTTTATTTAAGTAACCATTCTCTGACCAGAAGAAGTCTACTCTTCATTCAAAACAGAAAACGTACTGGCCGGTGGTGGTGCATGCCTTTAATGCCAGCACTCAGGAGGCAGAGGCAGATGGATCTCTGAGTCTGAGGCAAACCTAGTCTACAGAGTGAGTTCCAGGACTGCTAGGGCTACACAAAGAAATCCTGTCTCAAACAAACAAACCAACAAACAAACCAACCACAGACACCTTTGGTGTTCAGCTTCCATTAGGAAAAAGAAAACCTATTTCTAATCCTACCCATCTTTCTACAAATGAACCATAAGCATCTGGTTTTGAGCTTCTTATTGAGATGTAAATAGAATTATTGCTCTCTATTGTTTTGGCAAACACAATGACCAAATCAACTTGGGGAGGAAAATTATTTCATCTTACAGCTCCAAGGTCACACTTGTTCACTGAGAGAAACCAGGGCAGGAACTCAAGGCAGGAGCTGATGCAGAGGCTACCATCCACTCCTTCTCTGTTTCTGTTCAGAAAGGGGCAGGCCTCCCATGGGTATCAACAGAGCATGGCATATCAAGTTTAGGTAAGACTAAGCACCTCCCCTTGTATTTAGGCTTGTCAAGGTGACCCAGTATGAGCAATAGGTTCCAGAGAGCCGGCCATCCGCCTGCTTTCTTACAGTGCCAAGGACCACATGCCCAGAGGAGGTACCACCCACAATGGGCTGGGTCCACATAATCAATCATTAATCAAGAAAATGCCTAACAGACTTGCCTACAGGCTAGCCTGCCAGAGACATTTTCTTAATTGATAGTTCATCTCCCAGAAGACTCTAACATGTTTCAAGTTGACAAAAAACTAAGCTGCACAAGAATCATAGAACAATTAACTTTTATCTTGTGGGAAAAGCCAGGGCTCAGAGAAACAAAGTGTCAGTTTTTTAAAACAACAAAAATAAATCTGTTTCTATCTTTCTACAAACTTAAACTCTAAAAACCTGAAGAGACAATTTCTCTAACCACCAACATGGGAAAGCTGTCATGGTCTATCTGCTGTATCCCTCCAGTAAAATGGTGTTCAGTGGGCCTTTCTCACAGCCTCTAAGTAGTGTTTGAATCTGGTAACATGATTTCACCCCTGTGTCAACCTCACCACTGCCCATCTTCTCTAACTTTAACTTAACCTTTTCAGTGTTGGACAGCTTGAGCATCTCCCGAGATCTTTCACACCAGGCACAGCCTAATCCTAACGACTGTTCCTTTCCTTCTCAGAGGCTTCAGTGGATGCCCATGAAGCCCACAGACAGCAGGAGCTGCACAAAAGCCAGAGAGTAAGTAAGTTCACATTTCAAACTTACTCTCTGGTCACTTTGCCTCTCTGAGTAGAAGTGGATTTCTCAGATTCCTTGTAGGTGTGTTTTACTTTATGTCTCAGTAGAAATACCTTACAACCATTGCATATAGACATATAATAATTTAAAATTCTATAAAGTAAACTGCTGTCCCAATAGTTCATTCAGAGGATCTTCCAATTACATTTTTTCTTTAATTTTAAAAAGGGAGAGTGCCAATTCAGTCCTTCACTGCCACAAATTGTGCAGTTGAATTTCCCATGTCTGGGGAAACCATGGGGGGCCCCAGGAATGAAGTGGACGAGCTTTGCCCTGGGGAAACCATGCTTGCAAACATGGTGTCTCCCCTGTGAGGTAAATATGGCCCTGTAAGTTTTTGTTTTACCTTTTGAAAAAATTATACTCTTGTGATTCTAATTAATTGTATTTGTTTCTTTTTTATTCTTTTTATATTTTGTTTCTGATGCCTTAATCTTTCTATAGTTGTATATACTGAATTGAGACCTACATATTTTCACCAAAATGAAAACAAAATCTGTCTGTTCCTGTCATCCTTGTAGTAATATTATTTTTGTAGGCTACAAACGACATATGCTCTTTTCCCTATTCATACACAATACCGGCTTTAACCCTGAAATGCAATTTATAAAAGGGCATTTTAAACAATAATACAGTTGATTGTAGGTATTTTAAAAACATAAAACATTAAGAAAAACTAGCATTTGTAGACTTCTAATATTGAGAGATAGTAAACTTCTATTTTTTAAAAAATAGATTTTGGAACATACTTTGTCTTCTTTCTGTCCTGGTATTTTCCTGAAATAAAGCAGACTACGTACGAAGCACACTTTTAATTGTGCCCTTTGCTTTTCTAACCTTTGCTTCTCCAGAAACATTAGACTCCTCAACCTCTTAGCCCTCTTCCTTCACTGATTCTGCACAGAAACGTTTTTGCTTATTAATTTTTCATTAGCATTTTCCCAGGCAGTATATTTTCAGCATTTCTATTGTTATGCATATCACATTGGGTTGCATGAATATTCGTGCCTTATTTTAAGCTTTTCCTGTAAAGCATCAGATTCTAGTCACATTTGCCTTGGGTTTTTGTATATTTCACACAGTTGAGAGGCAGCTGTAGACTGGCTCTCTTTTTAAGAGGCTTATGCCTCATTGTATTGATGACTATCTCCTAATACAAAAGCACTTACCCCAGCTCTTCTTAGGAGCTCTGCTATTGGCTTTATAATCCTCAAAGTCGAGTTTCTTCCTAGTATGATTTTAGGGCTATGGTATCTCCTGACACTGGCTACAACTAATATTTGCAATACAATTATGAAAAGGAAGTTGATATCATTCAAAGCCACTGAGTGCCTCCAATGGCTGCAAGGCTGTGTTAGCTTCCTGACTGAGATGGGAAAATCACTAGTGCCAGGAATTTCATTTCCATTTTCTCCATAATCAACCCAAATGTATCTGCTGAAGCCTTATTCAACAGGAGGGACCATATTGCAAATGGAATGGTAGGCCAACCTTCCAGGAACTGTTTTCAGCCTTATTACATTCGCCAATGCTCAGACATTTGCCATTGCCACTCAAACCCCAGCCTCCTGGTTAGAAAGTAAACAGCATGAGCCTGAAGCATCAGAAGGAGTTTGGTTTCATCCCAATTTCTTACATAATCGGGAGGATCATTTCAGAGGTGGACTATGTGGCAGTGACCCTGGTACTCGCCACTCACAGTTTGTTCTTGCCGACTTCTCTTTCCCCTGTAAACTCTTCGACTGTGTCCACATTTACTTTTTACTCCTTTTTTTGGGGGGGGGGATTTTAATATATTTATTTGAAAACCAAATTCTGTGAAACAGTACACTCAACAGCTGAGTGTCTTCTTCTCAACCAAAGACTCAGGACACAGGTTCCGTAGGTCAATGCAGGCAATGATTCGTGCATTGTGTAGGTCTAGCGTGGGTTCCCTCACAGACACTGCAGTGTGTAACAGGGTAGAGCCATCTTCAGCTGAGCAGGCTTTTCACTCCTTCTATGAGTCATTTGGCATTGTTGACTTGAGGAGGGGAAGGCTTGAGGAAGGAAAGGCATATTTAGACTCACAGTTCCAGAGGTCTCAGGGCCATCAACAGCTGGTTTTATTTCAATGGACCTGCAGGGAGGCGGAGTGTCATGGTGGCAGGAGCTTGTAAGAAAAACAGCTGCTGGTTTGGGAACAGAAAGGGAGAGAGAGCAAAGGCCAAGGATAGGATGCAGCCTCCACAGGTCTTTCTTGGTCATCTGTTTCCTCCAATCAGCTCCCACCTTTGAGGGTTTCTACCACTTATTAGTGGTCCATTCAGTGAGAATAATTCAACAGATTAATCCATTGATCAAGTCAGTGTGCTCATGAATCTGCTCACATCTCCCAGAACCGATCCCTGAATACCACTCCAAGTACCGATGCCTTCCCCAGACCAGCCTTTGATGGGGAGGCACTTACTCTCCAAACCATGACACTGGAGTTTCTGTCTACCTACAGTGCCTCTGAGGGAAGTCTTGCTTGTGTTGGTGCTGTTTTTTCATCTTTCACAACCTGCCTACCTTTATTCTTCAGTTTCAATGATTTTTCTTTCTTTCTGTTGAATCCTTGTTCTCCAGCTGCCTCTTGGGTGTCACACAGAATTCCCCTCCCAGCCTCCTTTCCCCTCCTCGCCTTTCCTGTTTTATCTGACCTCTCACCAAATTTACTACTAGATTTCTACACACCATGGTTTATTCAGAGTGTCATTTGGAAACCTTTTCAATTGTAAAACATTTTTTTCTTGTGTTATTCCAGAAGCCATGACATTCTGGGCTCTACATCTGTTGCCTTGGCAATTTATCAGGTGTCTGCACTAGTCTCTGAGTGAATCTTACTGGTGCTGTGGAAGAGTGTTGTACAGGCAGCTTGCTCTTTTCCTGAAGACTCTTCCTTTGCCTGGTTTTCTCTCCTTTCCTCTTCCCTTGTATATCAATTAACCATTGCACTGTAGAAAGTTGCCCTCAAATGCAGCATTTTAAAGCATTGTCTAACAGTTTCTGGGGCTTGGGAATTTAGGAGCAGTTTGGAGCATGGCTCTGGCTCTGCAGGTCCCAGCCGTCACCAAGATACATTTACTTGGAGACTGGAGGCCTAGTTGGAAGACAGCTCCAACTGTTGATAGTTGACCTATGTTCCTGTCTCCTTACACCAGGGCAGCCTCCTTCCCTGCATGTGTCTGAAAGAAAGCAAGGAGGAATCACATGTTTCATTTCATCACCTAGTTTGGGAGCAACAGTCCATTCCTTCCTTTGTGCAATTCAGAGAATTGAGTCTTTCCCCAAGGGAATAACATGGCTTCTCCTCTTACAGAAAGAAATGAAAAAAAAAGAAGAAAAAGAAATCATCATCATTTCAACCTCTGTGTTCCTTTTATGGCAATTCTGTTTTGTTGTTGTTGTTTGTTGTTTTATTTCTATTTGTTTATTGTGCTAGAGTCTCCTGTAGCTCAGGCTAGCCTTCAATTTCTGATCCTGCCTCCTCCTGTCCTGGGCAAGGGCTTGGGCTGTCACACCCGGCTCATTCATTCTTGCTTGATGAAAGGTAGCACCAGTATTGCTTTCTACTACTTAAGGCCTCACAGTAACCACCCCAATGGGAACAGAGTAGCAGAGACCTAAGAACTGGATAACTGGCTGTCCTAGTCAGGGTTTCTATTGCTGTGAAACACCATGAGCAAAGCTAGTTGCAGAGGAAAGGGTTTATTTCGCTTCCACTTCCCTATCACTGTTGATCATCAATGGAACTGTTTATCATCAATGCAAGTGTGGACAGGAACTCAAACAGGGCAGGAACCTGGAGGCCATGGAGAAGAGCTGCTTACTGGCTTGCTCCCCATGGCTTGCTCAGCTTTCTTATAGAACCCAGGAGCACCAGCCCAGGGTAGTGCTGTAGGGTTGGATCCTCATACTTCAATCACTAATTAAAAAAGTGACCTACAGTCTTGCCTATAGTCCAAACTTATGGAGGCATTTTCTCAACTGAGTTCCTCCTTTCTGATGACTCTAACTTGTGTTAACTTGACATCAAACTACCCAGGACACAGGCTCACTCCAGTTCCACAGTTGATATCCTCTGTGAGGCCAATCAGTCACAGGACTTATGTGGCTCCAGTATCACTTGCTAAGACTTAGGTACTCTTTAACATTCTTTTTCAAATCCAGATTTGATTTTAATTTCTATATTCATCTTATAGGAAATTATTACCTAACATTTATTCTTTTTGACATAAAAAATGAAATTTCTAGACTTTTGGAATCTCAGTCACTGTAAAATACATTTAACCACATATAATGGTGATAAGGGTGATGAAAATAAACAAATGCTTAAAAATATCAACATGCTGCCGTACCAAGCACTGTGTATGACGCTATAGATACACACACACACACACACACACACACACACACACACGCACGCACGCACGCACGCACGCACGCACGCACGCACGCACCTCTCCGTATATATAGAGAGAGAGAGAGAGAGAGAGAGAGAGAGAGAGAGAGAGAGAGAGAGAGAGTGCTCAGGCTGGGTTTACATGGCGGTGCTGTCATGCAGGATGGCCTTGAATTCTCCAAATGCACCATTACAGGAGGATGCTAACCTTCCTGGATTCCTGGTATAAGTCTTGAGTGTAATGTATACCCAGGAGCTGTTACCACTGTGATAAAACAAACCAACAAATAAAGGACAAAGGAGACGACTGTCAGACAGACAGACAGAAGTGGGAGGGGGTGGGGAAACCAAGAAAGACAGTTCCACTCATGGTGCCCGGGGTGGGTAGCCTGGCCATGAGCACAGGCGTTTCCTTGAGGTGTATAAAGGTACAAAGGAACACATGGTCTCTGTACTTTATGATCTGAGCCTTCAGATCATCACATCATTCGCTTGTGATTCTGTCTCTGGGCAGCCCTCTGAGAGCCATCGTCCCCACCCAAATTTCTCTAACAGGAAGGACTATACTGATCACAGCATACAAATAGCCAAATCTTCCATATTCATTTTTCTTATTATAAACTACCAAGATGGTATTCTTGGGCCTTTGTTTGCTTGGCTAAAGTGTGTACAGCTGAAAATAGGTGGATATAGACCTGGAAACAGACTCAGGAGCAGCCTCTGGATTTAGGGGAGACAATGGTAGTTTTGGGGGGACCCAACAGTTGCTTCCCAGCTGTGTGCTTGCCCTGTCCTGGTAGACCACAGTCTGCACTGACTGCTTGCTCAGCTGTCTGGCTCCATGGGAGCTACGGGCTTTGTGTGGACAGGGACTTTCTGACTTCCTAACTGTTAAAATGAATGAATGAATGAATGAATGAATGAATGAATGGAAGGAAGGACTTGTTAAATGGTTCTGTGGACATTTCCAAGTCATCTCCTCAGCAGCCTGCAGCTTGCCAAAGACCAGCTCCCTGCTGTAGGGCTCGTTTGGAACTCTCGTTCTCAGTCCTCAGCCTTTTGCTTCTCTCTTCATTGGTCTGGCGTTTGGAGCCCAGTCCAATCCTAAATTCCTGCTTGTCCTTCCCCATCTTGCTCTTATCTAGCCTTCTCTGATCAGATGGTCTTTCCGTCCCACTTTTCTGTTGTTTGTTCTGTAAGTGTGTGTGCCAAATTTCTGGTTTGTGTTATTTTCCCTCTTTTGGCTCCTCTTCTGTTCACTTAGGCTGCTGCATCGCCGCCCTGTCCACCCAATCAGGTTCCCCTTTCTCATCTTGCCTTTCTGCCCTCACCCCCAAGTCTAAAAGCCTGATTGACTGCTGACGACTGCCTGTTTGCTGTGCTGTTCTTTTCCCCATCTGAGAAATAGGTAAGATACACCACCAAAAAGTACAAAATGAAAAGCTCTACAGAAGACACGTGCCTGTCAGGACTGTGGCAGGGAGAACTCCTATCCACATCAGCTGGCTTTGCGTTTGTCAGTTGTGTTTCTCAAAGGAACCTTGCAAGATTATAGCTCTTGAGCCCTACTCTCCTCTGACCAGGAAGATGGATCTGACCACACCCCCAAGCCTGAGCCTGGTAATGTCAGCTGAACTGGCTGTGGAATGCTCTGCCATGTCACTCTTCACAAACCTCCCTTCAGCTCTTAGCTCGCTGATGAAGCCCTGAAATTCTTCTGGTTTGTGGGCTCTTTAAGGGAAAGGGTTTTATTTTCTTGATCTTTGTATCTGTAACACCTGGCACATCCTTTCTAGCATGTAATCATCCTTCACAAATGTTTGTGAATGAGTGAATTAAAAAAAAAGACTATAACAACTTTTAGTTCAGGTTCTGGTTTGCTGGGTGGTGGTGGCACATGCCTTTACTCTGAGGTGGATCTCTGAGTTTGAGGCCAGCCTGGTCTAAATAGTGAGTTCCAGGACAGTTAGAGTTATATAGTGAGACTCTGTCCTGAAAGAACAAACAAAACAAATGTGCACCACCACACCCAGCTCCCAGCAGAGCTTCTCACTCAGTTGGTTTATGTTACAAGCTCTGGTGTCATTTTCTATAATACTGATTTGTTTAGAGCAATAATTTTGTTTCTGAGTAATATTGTCACTACTATAGTGTGAAATGTGATCATGTGTTACAAGGTTGGTACCCAGTATGGTGGTGCTGCAGTGCGGGGAAATGGGGGGGCTGGAGGGGTGGCTCTCTTCTGACCTGGTGGGAGGTGATTGGACAATAGGGGTTACTGCTCATGTAAGAAAGTAATAACGATCCTTTCTCACGAGTGAACCCCACTTTGGCAGGTTACCCTAATAGCAGCATTTGTTATAGGCAAGTGTGACATCTCCCCCCACTTGCAAGACAAAAGTCCACTTTGCTCTGCTTTCCTGTCATATTATGAGGCAGCTAGACCCCAGCACCATGCTGCTGTTTGGATAGTACAGCCACCAGAATTGTGAGCCAAACAAATCTCTCTCTCTCTCTCTCTCTCATAAATAGTCAGCCTCACGTTTTTTGTTATAAACCACATGACAGATTGAGACAATGACCAACGTTGAGTTGGCACTTGTGTGCTAGGCCCTGTGAAAAGACCTTTCACTGGTGTTATCTCTGTTGACTATAAAGCACAAAACACCTTGAACCTGACAATCCTCACTTCCCAAGGTACATGAATAAGTAAGTAACTTGCCAAGATCTTATCACCCATGTATAAAGAAGTCAGTATATGAACGGTTCTTTTTGATTCTAAAACACCGAAGCACTATACTTACTAGCATGATACAGTCTGTCTCTTGGATTGGCTCCATACTGTTTGTAGCCAGTTAACAACTGTTCAATCTTCCCCTTTAGGTAATTTGTCCAAAATAAACAAGACATTGCTACACTCATCGAGCTGAAGTTTCACTGTGCTCTTTCACCCTTGGTGACTGACTGAACCACAGGAAAATTCTCTTGCAGTCTTCCTTGGTGACTGTATCTGGGTTCCCACACAGCATCCTATGCAGGCACTCACTGACCACTTTTCTTCTTATCCTGATGACAAATGGTCATTTAGATGGCTTTGCAATCTAGCCCCACTTCCCTTGGGGACTGTTGTATAAACACAAGACCACGCCACAGATCACATCTTTCATCCCCTCCCTTCCTCTCTATTCCTGAAATCGTTTGACTTTTGTGTATGCTCTAACCTCAGCCAACCTGCCCTTCCTGTTTCCATTTTCGTTGCTTACTTATTCGTGTCTGTAACCTCAGGGTGGATATAGACTTGCCTGGCTCTGAAACGGTCTTGAAAGATACAGTATCAAATGATCCAACCCCAAGTGTTGAAATATCAAGACATCAAAATTCTACAAGTAAAATTCCTGAAAAATGATTTAATAATTTTTAAATATATCTATTTGCATTTTAAATAGAGAGTTTGAGAAACATGGCAGAGGGATTCCACTGGTAAAGTACTTTCCATAAAAGCATGTGGTGGTATGAGTAAGAATGACCCACATAGGCTTATCTTTGAATATTTGTTCATCAGAGAGAGGCGATATTTAAAAAAAAATAGGAGGTGTGGCTTTGTTGCAGTAGGTGTGGCCTTGTTAGAGGAAGTGCGTCACAAGAGGAGGGGGAAGGGCTTTGAGGTTTCAAAATCCCAAGCCAGGCCCCATGCTGCTCTCTTCCTGTTGCCTGAGGATTTGGTGCGGAACTCTCTGCTACCTCTACAGCACCGTGTCTCCTGCATGCTGATGCGTCATGCCATGAAGATAATGGACTAAACCTCTGAAACTGTAAGCCAGTCCTAATTACATGTTTTCCTTTATAAGATTTGCCATGGTCATGGTGTCCCTTCACAAGACAAAGCATGAGGATCTGAGTAGGAACCCCCAGCATCCATATAATGTCATCTCCAAGCCGGTGGCTCCACATCCTCATCAGGTAGCTCGCTACTACCTGAAACTTCAGGTCCAGGAAATCCGACACTTTTCTGATCTCTTCAGCCACTGGCTCTCATAGCACATGCCCCATCCGGTGTTTTGAAGGAGAATGGCTCCCACAGGCTCTTATATTTAAATACTTGGTCACCAGTTAGTAGAACTACTTGGGAAGGATTTTAGGAGGTGTAGCCTTGCTGGAGGAATTGGAGGGAGTGTGTCACTGGGTGGGGAGTGGGGGCAGGTTCTGGAGTTACAAAAGACTTGTGCTGTCCCCAGTGTTCTCTCTTTTACCTTATAGATGTGGATCAGGATGTGAGCTCTTAGCTGCTCCTTTGCTCTGCCGCCATGAACTCTAACCATCTGAAACTCTAAGCCAAATTAAACACTTTCTTTTATCACAGCAATAGAAAGGTAACTAAAGAATCCCACATACAGACACATAAATAAGTCTTGTTGAGTGTAGTAGTGCACACGTTTAATCCCAATATTCAGGAGGTAGAGTTTGGCTAATCCCTGTAAAAATAATACTTTATAAGATACCTTATACAATAGAATAAGCAACACTAACATACATAGTTGTCAAGTGGGTCAAACCTGCATATGCAGTTGCCCAGGAGGTCAGACTTTGGAAAATTTATGTTTCATAGATACAGATGTACAAAAAAAAAAAAAGAACCTCTTCATTTAGTGAAGAAATTTCAATATTTTAAATTTAGACTTATTTTATGTGTATGAGTGTTTTGCCTGCATGTTGCCTGTGTAGCACATGGGCCCATGCTGCTCTCAGGGGTCAGTAGAAGGCTCCCCTGGAACTGGAGTGATTAATGGTTGTGAGCTAGCATGTGGGAACTAAACCCGGGTTCTCTGCAAGAGCAGCAAGTGCTCTTAACCACTGAGTCATATTTCCAGCCCCCAAGTTTCAGTGATTTTACAAATATGCATAGTGATCACATGGAAAATGAACATTATGGTCAAGCACATACAAAGCAACAGGGCTCTCTGGAAGTCTTCCCACATTTTATACCTCTGGTATTGAATGTGATGGAAAGATGAAATGATGGACCATAGCAAATTATAAAACAACAAAGCTGGCAATTTAAAATGATAGAAAACATAAAACTGAAAAGGTGGGGGGGGGGCTGCCCTTCCACATAAAGGCTAATCTGACATATAAAAAATAGATTATAGGTGACTGTACAGGTGAGTGGTGACCACATCTTGTGATCTAAACTGTTCTGAAATCGTGCTGCACAATGGACAGCTGCTATGCTGTCTAGTTTTACATCAGTTTGGCACAAGCTAGAATCATCAGAGAGGAGGGAGCCTCAACTGAGGAGATGCCTCCATAGGGTCAGCTATAGTCAGGCTTGTAGGACATCATCCCCAACCCCCAGCTGAGGACTGAACCCAGGATCTTAAACTTGTTAGGTAAAGGCTCTACCACTGAGCTAAATCCCCAACCCCTGGGCATTTTCTTAATTAGTGATCAATTTAGGAGAGCTTAGCCCATTGTGGGTGGTGCCATCCCTTATGGCCCTGAGGTCTGTAAGAAAGAAGACTGAGCAAGGCATGAGGAAGAAGCAAGCCAGTAGGCAGCACCCCTCCTTAACCTCTGCATCAGCTCCTGCCTCAAGGTTCCTGCCCTGTTTGAGTTCTTGTCCTGACTTCCTTCAGTGATGAACAATGATGTGGAAGCAAAAGCCGAATGAACCCTTTCCTCCACAACAAGCTTTTTGGTCATGACATTCCACACAATAGTAACCCCAACTAAGTCAGCTGTCTTAGAGGCACACTCTAAGGCACACACACAATGGTACCTTTTTGGTTTGATATTCTTCTGTGGCCTGGACACAGCATCCTCAGGGTTGCACAATGCTTTCAGTCTTCTGTGCTGGGTTGTGTGGGTGTGGCATTTGCAGACTCTATCCAGCTTGGACTCTCACACAGATCACAGGTTTGCAGAAGCACTTCTGGGGACCGAACAGCAGCATGGCTGCATGCTCTCTGATGCTCCATGTGTGTAATTACTTTTGAACAAGCCAGAAACTTCACTAAATTCTTGAGGCAAAAGAAGCTTTAATTCATTAAAGTCATCAGTGTCATCAAGCTAGAAGGAATGTTAGCACAAATGGTGCAGTTAGAGCACAGGCCTTCATCACTCCTGGGTTGTTTGACCAAGCATAGCTCCAGAATTTGGATTTGAAGCCCTCCTGTGCAGTTTTTATGGGTATTGGGGGTGGGAGGGAGGGCTTCAAGATATTAATACTCAGGATTTTGATCCTTTGTAATTTTCAGGATTTTAAACCTCAGGACTTTTATCTTTGGATATTTCAGGAATGTGGCATTTGGATTGTGTCTGAGGACAGTGATGGCCCCAGTGGTGCATGAATGAAGCCGGCCAGGCCTCATAACTTCAAATTTCTCCAGTCATTGCCACAAGGTCAAGGTGGCACACTGCTGATGACACCAAGGCCTTGAAAAGACTTGTGCCACCAGGCAACTTCCCTGTCCTGGAATTGCAGATACCTAGGATGAGTCAAACTGAAGGTACTGGTGGTGGTTCTACAACACACACACACACACACACACACACACACACACACACACAGAGAGAGAGAGAGAGAGAGAGAGAGAGAGAGAGAGAGGAGAGGAGAGACAGAGAGAGAGAGAGGAGAGACACAGAGAGAGGAGAGACAGAGAGAGAGGAGAGAGACAGAGGAGAGAGACAGAGGAGAGAGAAAGGAGAGAGAGAGGAGAGACAGAGAGAGAGGAGAGAGAGGAGATAGAGAGAGAGAGGAGAGAGAAAGGAGAGAGAGAGGAGAGACAGAGAGAGAGGAGAGAGACAGAGGAGAGAGACAGAGGAGAGAGAAAGGAGAGAGAGAGGAGAGACAGAGAGAGAGGAGAGAGAGGAGATAGAGAGAGAGAGGAGAGAAAGGAGAGAGAGAGAGAGAGAGAGAGAGAGAGAGAGAGAGAGAGAGAGCCTGCTTGAGAGTGTTCTCTTAGAACACTGGATCCAAAAATGGAGAGATGCATACTCTTGACCATGTAAGTTAATGCCTAAATCAAACCATGCCTAAAGTTCTCTCCACCTCTGCTCAGGAAAGCCTTCAGCTGCATTCTGCAGGGCAGTAGAGAAAGAGCAAGAGGAGGCTTGTGTGTCTGTGCAGGAGGAAGATGAAAGAGCAAGACATTCCAAACCAGCACTATGCTGCCCTGAGGGGTTAGTCTAAGAATAGTTTTGTATTTGTTTGTGTATGGAATTTCAAACTACAGTTTTGTTCCTAAGAATATTGAAACCAACAATTCTTTGGACCTCACTGACCAAATGCTTGTGTTCTTCCAGAAGTTGAATCCTTCTCTCTTGGCTGTATTTACACCCCAGGCACACAATCATTGAATGCACTTCACACTCTTCTCCTCTCTGGTAGACATTCAAGGGGTGATAAATTGGGCATTTCTGAGTGTCAGTCAGTTCATGTGGTCAACAAACATCAGATTCAGTAAATATTTATTGAACACAAAGAAGTGCTGTGATCTATCTTATAACATTTAGGAAGTTGTCTGGTCCTGGAGGAGGAAGCTACTTATTTTTTTATTGGATATCATCATCACAAAGGTCATAGGGGAAGTTGTAGGCAGAATCAGAAACTCGATCTCTAACAAACACAGCTTTCTCCTAAAGAGCCCAAGTTAAAACAGAGACTAGATTTGAAATGTATTTGAAAATTAGTCAACTTTCCCACAATTCTGTCTTCTACCCATAACATGTTAAATGTTCTACCTTCCAGTGCCATATGTGTGTTACAATTGTTGTTGTTGTTGTTTTTCCCCCGAGACAGGGTTTCTCTGTGGCTTTGGTAGCTGTCCTCGAACTAGCTCTTGTAGACCAGGCTGACCTCAAACTCACAGAGATCCGCCTGCCTCTCATATGCCTGTTATGATTAATGAGTTGTTAGGCACACTAGCACCAAGTTAACTCTGAACATTTCCTTCTCCTTCAATAAAGAAATATCCAGGTCCAATCAGCCATGATACTTTCACATAAAAGAGGCCTCTGTGCTGCTTTAACCCCTCCCAGTGCACATAGAGAATAGAACTGGAGACAGAACCCAGATTTTCAGGTATGCTAAGCCTGAGCTAACTGCTCAGCCCCAAGCACTGATTTATATACATAGACACTCTTCCCTGTAAAACACATGATGCTTCAAATCATAATATGTAGTCATTTCATTATTGATGGGGCAGAAGAGAGCAAAGGTCAATTACTGTGAATTCTAGGATGCAGAGGAAAGATGAAGGGGAGAGGTAGAGAGACAAATGCTAACATTTCCTCATTCATCTGAGTACAGTTGTCATTCACCAAGTCAACAAGTATACATACCAGACACTGTTCCAGAGGCTAGAGGTCCAGTGTGAGCAACATGGCCCAATTGTGGGAGAGGGCCCGAGAACTGATAGTTCCATTCTCCCCCTCCTGCCCTCCTGCCCTGCTGCCCTTTGTGGCACTTAGCCTTGGTGTAATAGTTCATAGCAGGGCACAGAAAATTATGTTTTGGAGCAGCTAAGCTGTGGGTGACTTTACATTTTGGAAGAGGCCCTTTGTAGCCTGAAAACCTGGAATGTTTTCCATTTGACTCTTCATAGAACATATGCAGACTTCTGGTCCAGAGATCTACGCCATTCCCCAGAGCCAGAATGAACAGTTAAATACTCTAGCTGTTAGAGCCTTTTCTCCTATTAATCTTTTGCTATTTGTGTGAAGCAAAATTATTATATCCTACAATGTGACCGAGACCAGGTAGATAGGCTGTTTATATTAATTTCCTTGAATAATGATTTCAGCTATTTTTTAAGCCTTTGATTATTTGTTACTTTGTTTTCCTAGCCTATAACCTCTACATATTGCTGCTACTCTCCAGTCAGAATTTTTTCCATTTCTCTTTTTTTCTGAAACCTAAGTGGGCATCAGGAAAGTGACATTCATAAGTGACTCACCAGGGAAGAAGAGACGCACATTGGCTGCTGCTGCCTTTGATAACGACTATTTCTCATCTACATCCTGCTGTGTGTTCTGCTGTGTGTTCTTCATGGGGTCCACTTGTTGGAGTAAGAGGTCTAAAATTCGCCAGCCCTTCTCCCTGGGTAGAGCACTCTCTTGCCTCCTTACCTTCTTGATGGGGCAGACTTCTGCTTGCTCAGTAAGAATCTCTGGCCAGGGCAAACTTTTTTGGTGGTTTGGTGACTTCCACTCCTAAGATTAATTTTGAGCTGTGGAACTGAAGAATATTCCTTCTCCTATAGAGCTGTTCCAGGTAACACTGTCACCGCTATTCACTTTGAATTTGTGTATGTTGTCCTGGTGTCATTCTATGTGGGTGGAGAAGTCCCTACCCAGCCACAATCACATCCTCAAATTGGTCTAACTTCAGCTAAGAGTGGAGTGCCCTGGACCAGGCATCAGCTGGCTCTTCTAAAGATTCTTGTGAGACCTAGGCCACCTGCTCAGTTTCCCAGTGCCTACATCTCTACATCTATAACATAAAGACAATTCAAACTTTGATTTCAGCTTCTGGGAATAAAATTGAACTGTGTATGAACATTGATGTTCCCATGGCAACAGTCATGTCAGGTATCTAGTATGCCACTGGAACAATACATTATTTGTAATAAGTACTTGTAGAGTCTCCTGACACAGAAGAAAAGACTCTTACAGGAAACCTGGAGGGTTTACTTCTACATTAATTTGCATTCATTATCTCAGGAGACTTCATCATGCTTCTCCAAACTATCTGGTTCTCAATTTGCAGAATAAAATGAATTAGTACACCCTGGAGCCATTGAATCCACAAGCAATATGAATGCAGCTATGGTTAGAATAAAGAGAAAGAGACTGGCCTCCTGCTAACATCACAGGGGAGTCCCTGGGAATGGTTGATGAGGGTGGAAAGGGTTCCAACTCAGCCAACTGAAGGGAACAGAAATGTCAGGTCTACAAAACAACTTATTGAAATGTCATTATCATTATTATTTATGGAAAATGTAAGTCTACAAAAGGACAAAATAGTAATCAGGTCACTTACACATAGACAATATTAACATTTTGATATCAAGTCTTCCCATCTTTTTTTCTAGATACTCTATTCTAAAACTACATTCTCATTTTTGATCATTTTTACAAGTCATTTTATATTATAGAAAGTAACTTGCAGAGTGTGTCATCAGAAGGACATAGCAATTCGTGTAACTAATTCACAATTACTCAAAATTTAGATTGTGCCTTGAGTTTTCTGTTAATTAAAATCAATTCATTTATTGCCTTAAGGTCTGAAATTAATTTCACTGGAACTTTGTCATCCATCCATATCATCACTGGCAATGTGGCATTCTCTCCCTTAGAAAGATCTCTGTGGGTGAACTAGAGTGAATGCCCCAAACCTTGGCAAGAAATTCCCATATTCTCAGAAGGGAAGGCTTTTGTCTGGATTGTATTTTACCATTTTCTCTGGTCTCTTATATGAGACTTTTGCCTAAAATGTCATTCCCCTTTCCCAGATTTGTGGAAAATATGTTTTTTTTTTTTGCTTTTGAATTCTTTCTCTGACCAAGACACTGGTCTCTTCATTTTAATGCTTTACCTTCTCTTTTGATGAAGGTTTATTTCCTTAACCCAGCCAGTCAAACAATTTTTAGTACCAAAATCCCATTTGAAATTCAGAGGATGCCAGAGTTCGTGTTGGAGTTGTATCTGTTGCTATTTAATGAAACAGAATGAAAATAGAACAAAACTAACATTTTTTAGGATTTCATTTAATGTTATAATGTGATACCTACTAAATGGCAACAAAAACCTTACATTTATGTTTGCAAAGTAAGAGTCAGTTTAGTGAGAAGAAGGACATTGTTTTACATTTTAATAACTCCCTTTGATATCTGTTGTAAGGAAAAGCAGCTGGATTCATGCACTGACAATGTTGCCCTGAGGAACCGGGCTTCACACAGCTGTGTGGTAGAAGAGAGACCCTGGCAGCTGTCCTGAACAATCTCAGGGACACCCAGGGATTCTCTGTCCACAATTGAGAGCTGCAGCCCCAAACCTACTCCACTTGCTCAGCATCTTTTCATGTGACAGTTTTTGTTTTGTTTTTAATAAGAAATGAGAAGACAATGGTATTTCAACATTACATGAAAATGCTTCACTAACAAGCAGACATTTATACTTGGACAGAAAATGGGAAAACACTTCTTTTGGGATGTTTGGGAGTTAAGACGCTATCGGATGTGACACTGCCATTAAAGAGCATTGTTCTTCTCAGTAGCTACTTTCAATAGATATTTAGGTTTCATGCTTAAACACTGCGACTCAAAACTAGCAATTTTCTAAATGAAACAAAATTTTTCTTTGTTTGATTTTTGGCAAAACTCCATTTTGAATTTAAATTTTGGCTCAGTTTCAAAACAAGTTTAGTTTTTTTTTTTTTTTTTTTTTTTTTTTTTTTTTTTGAGACCGGGTTTCTCTAAAGCTTTAGAGGCTATCCTGGAACTTGTTCAGTAGACCAGGCTGGCCTGGAACTCACAGAGATCTTCCTCCCTCTGCCTCCCTAGTGCTTGGATTAAAGGTGTGCACCACCACCACCCCACATGCTCTGTTCTTCTGAAATCCACTTCCTACTCAGGTAACTTGGCATCCTTTGGTCTGAAAAATGGACTTTCTCATGCTTTGTTGCTAAAAAATGTTGAATGTGTCTTGTTTTCACTTAATGAGGTCAGAAGTGGAACCAACCTCCATGTGAAGTCTTAAAGTAAGACTATCAAGTTTGAGGTAGTACATACAGCTCAGCGGATTCTCCATTTAGCATCAGATACAACATGAGATCTGAGGGTTGTTGTGTAGTTTCTTCCGCTATGGTGTGATTGCATGCACTGTGGTGAATGGACGAACCCCGGAGTGAATGCGCATTGTTTGATGTCGGCACAACACGTCAAGGACCTAGGTACCTCAGATCCACGGGAATGGCAAAGTGCCTTCCCTGATCTTTGTGTGGATGTTAGTGTGTGCAGAAAACAACCGCTGAAGCTTTCTCTTCCAGGGCAGCTACAGTCTTAGACGGCTCCCCAAACTGAGATAAGCTAAACCTGCTTCCTGCTCAGCCATATCTAGTAACCCCACCGTTTCCTGTTGGTAGCAGCCCTGTTCTCTGCCCTGGAGGGCCGCTGGTGCAGTAGGACATACCTGTTTTTTTCTGACCACCCTCAAGTTTCGAGTTGCACTTCCACATGGCATCTCATGGTGTTAGGGGGATTTTAAGCCTGGAGTTGGATTGTTATTGAATGTAATGATCCCTGGGGCTGAGAGGAGAAAACAAGAATGAATATGGAAACGCATTGGAAACTCTTTAAGTGGAATAGGAGTTATTACTGTTTTTAAGTACCCATTGCTTAACGGAGGTATTTCATTTAAACATTGACACAGCATATCTGAAGACAGTCATTTCATTTACTTCTAAAAGGTCAAGTGAAAGAACATGTTAGACCCTTCCCAGGTCATCCTATAATGAGTCTTTCTGTGTAGATCTGGACGCTGGCTAGAAAGATGGTTGTGGATGCCCACTCTTCCTGTCACATTGAAAGGTTCAATCTGCCACAGAGCTTGTTACCTCCTGCGTAACAAGGGGACTGCATTTGGCTACATTCTTAATGACTTTATTTTTCTAGTCTCTTATACTTTGATATCTCAAAGTAGATAATGAAAACTATAAATTATAAAATAAAAGAATGCTTTATGAGAATATATCAAATGCTTTGATGGGTATATCTGATATTTAGATAATTGTTTATCTATTTCTTTTCAATTGAAAGTAAGCAGAACCTTGACACTAAAATAATTGTTGAACTTAGAAACCAATTCTTGAGTGAAAACTCACCATCTTGTGTTTAATTAGACTTCAATTGCTCCATTTAAAAAGGTCATCTAATTTTGGAAAAGACAACTGATTCTAATTGTGACAAGCTAATCATTGCTGAATTTTATTAGGAAGAGCCAAGTGCTCTCTTCTCATGTGCTTAGTAACATTTATTCATACTTCACAACCATAACACTGACATGGGAGTACACACACACACACACACACACACACACACACACACACACACACACACGCACATCATCAAAACATAAGACAATCATCTTTTATGGATTAGGGTTTGCTTCCCATCTCATGCTTTATCAGTGTGGTCTTGCAGCCATTTTAGGCTCTGTGCTTCTTGTTTCTTTTGCTCCAGGAATGAGACAGGTCTATCAGAGGTCTTTCAGGTTGAATGAGAAAATGTCTCTGTACCACACCACACAGAGTCTCCAGAGATAGCAAAGGTTGTACATTAAAGTGACTTCATTTCTAGAGCACTGCATAACTGGCAGTTATGGGGACAGGGGGATGACAGAAATTCAGGTGGCACATGAAAGAACTCTGACTACCCTAGGGTGCAGGTGCATAGCTTGATTCCCATGGTGCTCCAGGACTGGGGAATAATGTATCTTTTATATTCTTCTAGGGTTCTCATGGACAAAAAGGGCCAGTTCTGGATTAAACTGAGAACTAGAAGCACACTCCAGACATCCTGTGAAACATGCCAACTTCACTTATATACAGTATTGGGAAAGCAACAAAAATGTTTCTGCTAAGGATCATAATCCAAAACATCCCACCTAGGCTGCCCTTCAAATGGAAAATGGGTTATTGTTTTTCACTCCTAGTGAAGTAGAAAGTCCAGTGATTTTGTTTGTTTGTTTTTTGAGACAGGGCTTCTCTTTAGCTTTGGATCCTGAACTGGAACTCCCTCTGTAGACCAGGCTGGCCTGGAATTCACAGAGATCCACCTGCTTCTGCCTCTGGAGTGCTGGTATTAAAGGCACAAGTCTCTGCTGCTGGGCTGGCCAGTGGTCTTTTAAAGAGTAACTATCACCTTTATTTTTGGGGTGTTTCTCATACTTCATTTGTAGTTCAGACATATGCTTCTTTGCAGTTGCTCCAAATATGATCGAACAAGCTTTGCAGTAAGAAAGCTGCCTAGGTTGTCACGTTCCCTTGGGTGCCACTGAATAAAGGGAGGCTGTATCTGAATTTAGAATTAGGTAGAGAAAGACAGAGACAGAGGTATGCTACCAAAGCTTCCGGTATTGGGACTGGTGCTGTAATTGCCCCTAGGATATGACTCATGGCAGCAGAATTCTAAGAGAAAGCTAAGTCACTTATGGGGACTTGCTGAAAATGACATTCATTCCATCTCTACATAGGCGGCCACACCAGTTCCTTTAAAGTGATAGTTGAAGGGCTCTTTGCTGTTCTGTTAATGATGAGGACTTTTCCAGGATTGACCAAGCCAGTCATTCCACATGGCTGGAGACAAAGCTGAGAGTAGCTAGCCACCAACTTTTTTCTTCTTCTTTGTCCACTTCTTTCCCCCAAAGTGGTTAACAAACAGAGAGTAAAGGGTGGATGCCTCCCCCTCCCCCTCCCCCTCCTCCTCCTCTGTCTTCATCTTGACAGGGTCTGGCTATGTACCTCTGTCTGTCTCCACACGCATGTTTTCCCTGCCTCAGCATTCCAAGTGCTGAGACTACAAGGTAGGTACCTGGCCCAGGATTGTCTCCATGAGGACACTAAGGAACAAACTGTAGTCATAGGATGGAGAACACCAGTGAGCCTGGTGGGGAGTTATCTGGGGTACCAAGGAGAATGTTACTGATTTCTCCAGCTGACTCTGCCTCTGAGGAAAACTGGTTCCTGTTGTTCCCAATGACCTTGTAGATGCCTCCCTCATAACCCCTTTGGAAGCTATACTTGCATGTCTGTGATGTGTGTCGCAATAAATGGCTGAGAGGAGGAGACATTACCCAATTTCCAGTCTGACTCTGTCTCAAAGGTTGGATCTATTATGACTTCCCAGGGCACAGAATGGCGTTTCCTCAAAGAAGTTCATTATGGATGGGGGCGGGGCATTATATCTGCAAGAAGGACTTGTTTCTGAGAAGGGTCTCTGTCTTTTCTTAGGAAGATGTTACAAAGAAAGCAGAACAAAACTTTATTATGTAAGTTGCAGTAGGAATAACAAAGTATATTGAGGAGGGAACTGCTTTTAGTCCATGTGTTTAGAAAATGTACAACTCTTGTAGTAACATTGCCTCTTAAATACTATGGACTTTCTGGCCTTAGTTTTGCATAAATTAACAGAGGAAGCACCCACTCCCTGTAATCCCCTATCTCCCTGAAAAAAATCACCAATTAGGGGCACCTGATCTCTCTAATAATATCATCCTACTGTGTAGATGACAGTCTGTGTATTTTAGGTTGAAAAATTCAAGGTACATTGTTTCTGAAGGAATATGACTTACAATAAGTGCCCTCAGGAGCATTTGAACAAAAATGTTTTGAAATGGAAAAAAAGGAAATAATCAGTTATGACTGGGGATGGAAACTATATTGACAGTAACAATAATAATAGTAGCTTTGTTTACTCCACTATTCACTTGGGCTCCAAATATACAACAGCACCTCACTGAGAGATGGAAATGTCCTGGTTTAAATGGGAGAGAATTGTGGGAGATGAAAGTTCTGTGGCAGCATTACTATGGATAGAATAACACCTCCTGTAAAGAACTTACTAGTGGTCATTTGCATAATGATTATGTTTCTCATAGTTCAAGAAAAATTCTAACTGGAACCCTTACATAGAAATGCTACCCTATTTTCTGAATAAATAGCAATAAGCTGCAGTAAAGGGCAGCTATGAGGATTGACATTGTCAGCATGTTCCTAGTGTTGATTATGCTGTTGAAATACATTTCATAAGCACTTTTGGAGGCAAATTTAGGCTTTTTGAAATACTGCACATTTTCAGTGATTTCTTGTGGGGAAAGTTCAAGAAAGCTTTATTACACCCTGATACATTCAGCTGAGTTCAGCACAGAAAATCTCTCCAGCTGGGAATGCCATGGTAGAGGAGAGAAACAAAGAAGAGGTTAAACAGATCTTTGTTCTCAAAGGCCCTTCCAACCTGGAGAGAGAGGGGGAGAGAGCAGAGGGAGAGGGGAAGTTGAGTAGGGGAATAGACTCTTTGTTTGTTTGGTTGGTTGGTTTTTGAAACAGGATCTCACTATGAAGCTCTGGCTGCCCTGGAACTCACAGAGATCCACCTGCCTCTGTCTCCTGAGTGCTGGGATTAAAGGCCACACACCTGGCTAGAAGATTCTTAACCAAAATGTTAGTGTTGTGATGGATTTACAGTGCTGGGTAGTCAAGGAGAGACTAGAACTTCCAAGTGTGAAGATTAGGGGAGCTAATTACACTGACAACAGCAATAATTTCAGGAGCAGCTGAGATTTCTAAGAATCTATTATAGTCTAGGTGCCTTTAAAATTGTTATTTTGTCTACTACTTGCTGTGGCCTGAATGTTTGTTTTGTCTCAGATTTACAGATTGAAACCTTCCTTCCCAATATGTTGATCTGAGGTGAATTTTTGGAAGGTGGGGAAGTTGTGAGGATGGAGCCCTCTAGAATGTGATTAGTGGGAACACGAGAGCTGGCCTGTCTCCATGGTGTGATGATAAAACAAGAAGGCAGATTTGGAGAACCAGACCTAAAGTCTCCAGGCACCTTGAATTTGAACTTTCAAGCCTCCAGAATCTAAGAACAAACTATTAACCTAAGATATAACATGGCTTAGAAAAGTTAACACAGGGAGGAAAAAGGTATACCCAAGATTTTGAGTTTGCATCAGAACAGACATAGTTATATGAAAACAACATAGTGGTTGGTGAAAGCAACCTTGGCACTTCCAGAGAGAGTGCCTTCCCAGTACTGGCTATTCATCTGTGACATTGGTGCAATTTTTATTGCTTTTATAGAATTTTCATATAATAAAGTCAGAAAAAAGTCCTTTGTTCAGAATAATTTTCTTTGAAAATGCTCATTTTAAATATAGTAATAATTCCAGAATGAATGTGGAAATTGGATGTTTTCCAAGTAAAATATCACCATGTAACAGTTTTTCATGGTCATTCAAAAGCCACAGGGTGGGAAGATGGGAGCCCTGAGCACAGCAGGTGCAAGATCCACGTGGAGACCCACTCCCCAGTCCCCTGGGGTTTGGACACACCGACCTGACCTAGTGATCCCAGCCAGCTGGGCCTTTTCCCATACAACTGGGAATAGGCTGGAATCTCATCCAACCATTCTCAGGGGCAAAGCAGCTCACACACACTTGCAGATCACACAAAGTGTTTGTGTTGGGTGACCTCCTTTCTGGAACCATGTACTTTAAGAAGAGTTCTTAGGATGAATATGCACCAAATATGCACCTATTGGAGAGTTTTGTTTTGTTTTGTTTTGTTTTGTTTTGTTTTTTGCTATGTTTCAAATGGCTACATTTTCTATGACGCACATTCTGTGTTAATTGCAAAAGCTATTACATAAAAAAATCTTATGAAGATATAAAGATTGCATAACCATTTATTTATGGTTTTCAAATCATCTACTTCTATTGAAAAGAATAAAAATTATATGAAATTGAAAGTCATTTGGGAAAATGCTATGTTTATAGTACACAGAGGCAATTAAAAATCTCACAACATTGTCATTTTGAAGAAGTTTAAAGAAAATATATTTTGGCTGGGTGTTGGTGGCGCACGTCTTTAATCCCAGCACTTGGGAGGCAGAGGCAGGTGAATCTCTGTGAGTTTGAGGCCAGCCTGGTCTACAGAGTGAGTTCAAAGGCAGCCTCCAAAGCTACAGAGAAACCCTGTCTCGAAAAACCAAAAGAAAAAAAAAAGAAAAGAAAAGAAAAGAAAGAAAAAGAAAACATATTCTGATCATATTCTAATTTTAGGATCTGATAGCAAGAAACACTTTTCTTTATTTTAGAAATTTATTTACTTAATGTGCACTGATGTTTTGCCTGTATATATTCTGTGTGAGATGTCAGATCCCCCGGAATTGGAGTTACAGATGGTTGTGAGCTGCCATATGTTTGCTGGGAATTGTACCCGGGTACTCTGGAAAAGCAGCCAGTGCTAGCAACTACTGAGCCATCTCTTCAGCTCGAGAAACACTTTTCAATGAATGAGATAATGTTCTAGAGATGTTAGTACACACTCAAAACAAAACAAAACAAAAAAACCCACCAAGACCACAGGCTATAATTTAAAGGTAATTCTCCTGTGACCATCATAATACCTAACTGTGATATTGGGTCAGGCTACGTACAATGTTTTAAAGTGTCGAAGTATAACAGCAACCGTTTTTTTTGGTTTTTGTTGGAACTTGTTGGCCACAAGTCATTGATGACTCAAGTTGCTATCTGAAGTCACAGGCACCAGGACATTTCCAAGATGGCTGCCATAGTTCAATGGATGATTAATGACTCTATTCTGGAACTGTGTTTTAAAATTTTAGTCTTTCCAATGGAGTTCAAGTTGTACCAGCCGTCTTATATTAGTCAGACCCTGGGAATTTTATTGTTATTTTGAACCAGATCTATTTTTGTTTAATTCTATGAGAACCACACATCCTTTGTATCTTTGCCAGGAAATTATTTTCCAATGACTATTGCTCAATCCTAAGTGCATTCTACATTTTTACACAGAGGGCTGTGGTAGTGGTGAGTTCAGTTAAAATTCTGTTTTACATGATATGATGTAGTTGGACTTTTATTTCTTTCTCTTTTATTGGTTTTTTGAGACAGGGTTTTTCTGTGTAGCTTTGTAGACCAGGCTGGCCTTGAACTCACAGAGATCTGCCTGTCTCTGCCTCCCAAGTGCTGGGATTAAAGGCATGTACCACCAACACCCGGCTTGTGATTTTTTTTTAAAAATAAACTCTAATATTCTGCCAGCTAAAAGTAAGTTAGGTCTTATTTATTTTTTCAGAGTGATACATTTTCTTTGAGGGATATGGAAAATTTTATTTATTTTTATAGATTTTATTTAAATTAAAAACAATCTTATTTTACGTATCAATCCCAGTTCCCTCTCCCTCCCATCTTCCTATGTCTCCCATGGCTTCCCCGTCCCATCACTCCATTCACTCCACAGGGAGGCTGAGGCCTTCCATGAGAGATTATCAAAATCTGTTAACCCATTTGGGGCAGGGCCTAGGCCCTCCCCCGTGTATCTAGGATAAGAGAGTATCCCTTCATGGGAAATGGGCTCCCAAAGTCCATCCTGGTTCCACTGCCAGAGGCTCCATAGACTGCCTAGTCCTAGCTGACATCCATGTTCAGGGGGCTTGGCTGGGTCCTGTGTTGGTTCCCCAGCTGTCAGACTGAGGTCCATGAGTTCCTACTTTCTTAGGTCAGCTGTTTTGGCAGGTTTTCCCAGCATGTCTTGACCCCTTTGTTGGTCACTCCTCCCTCTCTGAAACTGAATTCCAGGAGTTTGGCTCAGTGCTTGGCTGTGAATATATGCTTCTGTTTCCATCAGCTCCTGGATGAAGGCTCTAAGATGGCATTTAAGGTAGTCATCATTCTCATTATAGGGGAAGGGCATTTAAGGTAGCCTCTCCACTATTGCTTAGGTTCCTAGTTGGAGTCATCCTTGTGGATCTCTGTATAATTCCCTAGTGCCAGATTTCTCTTTAAACCTACAGTAGCTCCCTGTATCGATGTGTCTCTTTTCTTGCTCTCCTCTATTCCTCTCCCCACTCAATCTTCCTTATCCCTCATGTTCTCCTCCCCCCTCAGAGTGATAGATTTTAAATAAGAAAACTTCCATGTTTGTTTATTTTGCGTGTGTGTGTGTGTGTGTGTGTGTGTGTGTGTGTGTGTGTGTGTGTGTGTGTGTAGGTCATAGGACAGTTCTTGCCTTCTGCTATGTAGCTCCCAGGGATGGAACTCAGGTTGTCAAGCTTGGCAGGAAGAGTGTTCCCCTGCTTAGTCATCTTGCCAGCTCTATGTTTAAAAGGTCATGACCTGGGATTGGTACACACCTGTAAACTTAGCACCCAGAAGTCTGAGGCAGGAGGATCACAAGTTTGAGAACACCTTAGACTACATAGAGAGATCTAGTTTTAGCACAACTGCCCCCATCAACCAAAACAATGTGCATCTCCCAAAGTCAGTTATGTTTATGCACAGAGAAAATCTGTTAACACCACTTGGTCCTTTATACAACATAGAAACAAACAATACAACAGAAACAACAAAAGCCCAGACATGTTGACATGTAGCTCTTGAAGATGAGTCTGTTCTTAGAGGTGGTGAGACCTCTTGGTCTGCTGGGTGACTCTTGACCCCGAGAAAAGTGGAGAGAGCAGCAAAGCTTTGCTCAGGGACTGGGAGGAAACACCTTGTTACAAGAGAGAGCCTCTGGTTGTCTCAGGATCTCAGAGGGTGGGCCATGGATGCTGTATTACACTCAGTGGACTGCAGTGCAGTAGAGTCTTTAAAAAATGATGGATGGGGGTGGTTAGCAAAGCTTTTACCAAGGTAAATTTCAGAGCACTAAGAAACAAAACAAAACAAAAAAACAAAATGGAATATTTGTTCAAAAAAAGAAAATATAAAATAAGCCTTCTTGCAAAAAAAAAGTTAAAACAACACTAAAAAAAGTGTAGCTTGTTTTGTAAAATATAATTTTTCAAAATTATCTTTTGGAAAAAGATAATTAAGCCATAGTGGTTCAGGACTGTCATGAATAGTATGTCCAACCTTTTTGCAGCATGGTGTTGTCATTCTGAAAGTTCACTCTTAGGAATGAAATAGCAGTTGCAAAAACAAACAAACCAACCCTAGAAATAACCCCCCCACATATGAAGTCTCAAAATATTTTAATACGTTCATAATTTTGTATTGGATCTTGTGAAACCTTCAGCCCATAAGTTGGAGAGGCCCTCAGAAATCCTGCTTACATTCAAAAAGTCTCAAAGTAATGAAATTACATATTTTTATAAAAACATAAATAGTATGGAGACACATAAAACTAGATGAATCCCTCCCCTTTCTTTATCCCTAATTACCAGCCCACTTTTCCAAGGGGAGAAATTATTAGCAATTACTTGTTTGTCCTTTAATAAAATGGACTGCATCCCCAGATAGCAGCATATGTGGGTGTTTATTTGTGTGTGTGAACTCAGGTATATAATTACATGTCTTCCAATTGTATTCAATTTTTAAATGTGTCATTATAAATATAGAGTTTCTTATATCAACACACAGGAGGCTACTACTCCTTTGTAAAAAGTTTTATAGCTTATTTTGTTGGTTCATTTTATCTTTAATTATGTGTGTGTTTATGTCTCTCTGTGTCCCTGTTTTAAATGTTTATAGGCTATTCTCTAATTTGCTTCATGAATTTATTTCTCACCACTGCTATCTGGGAGTTACTATGTCTCTAGCAGAGTAGAACTTGTGAACCAGTAGGTTTTAAAAATCTTCTTTCCATGCTAGAAATTGAACTAGGGTGTTACGGAAGTTAGACAAACCTTTACCACTGAGACACAGTATCAGACCTTTTAAAAGTATTACTATTAACTTCTAAAACTTTTTTGTGTATTTTTTGTTTTTTGAGACAGGATTTGTGTAGCCTTTGTTGTCCTTGGCTGTCCTGGAACTCACTCTGTAGACCAGGCTGGCCTCGAACTCACAGAGATCTACCTCCTTGTGCCAACTAAGTGCTGAGATTAAGGGCATGCACCACCACAACCTGGGTTTTTTTTTTTTTAAATATTTTGAGGAGCTCCTTCAGTTGCCCAGGCTGGCACTGAACTTGCAATTCTGCTGCTTCAGATTTCGAAAGTAACTGGGGTTATAGGTCTGCACTGCTGACTATGACAGCTTTTAAAGGAGTATGTTAAAATAATATTCATGTTTAAAAAATGATCTGCAGGTGGGGGAGGCAGGGGATTTTGGTGGGTACGGAGTCACAGTTTTGCAAGCTGAGAAG